GTGAGATAAAGTCAGGAAAGTTTTGGTGGAGGGGAATAAAACATCCAAGAGCAAACCCAAGAGCTGTGTAGAGTAAGGATGGAGAACATGAGTACCTCCAGGTATTGAGGGACTATGAGGGATGATGGGAATTATAGCTCAATATGTCAAGGGCTACATGGTTCCCTTACTGGTGCAAAGTGTATTGCTGCCTACCATAGCAATAGCAGTAGTAAAAGCAGCTTCATTTATATACCGCTTCATATCACGCTATAGTAATAGCAGCTTCATTTATATACTGCTTCATACTGCATCATGCAGTTTCTAAGTGGTTTACAACTGTATGCTAATTGCCTCCAACAAGCTTGGTACTCATTTTAGCAACCTCGGAAGGATGCAAGCCTGAGCCCTGGCTGGTACTGAACTCGCAATTTTGTGGTTTGTGAGTGAGTGGTTGTAGTACAGGCATTTAACCACTGTGCCACCATGGCTCCTTGAGGACAATATTGACCTATAACAGGTAATTGTGTCCAGAGCAGTATCTGAATGATGTGATTGGTCATTTTAGGCCAATCTGCTTTTAGTCCCTGAAGTGGTGAGGCTTCACCCCCACCGTTAAAAAAAAAAGTGAAATGACCAATAGGAACCTACAGCTTGGAAATACTGTTTCCAAGGCTGCCCTTCTTGCAAACAAAAGCTGTGTAAAACAGTAAAAAAGTGCAGTACAGAATCGAGCAAAGTAAGAGAAAATATGATGGCTGATCCAGTTTGCATGACTAAGCTGGCAAAATTAAACTTTTCCGGGATCCACGAAACACACACACACAGAGAGAGCATCTAGATTTTAATCTTGCCAACACCTGAATCCTATTCTCAGAGAAAGGCAGGGTATAAATTCAGTTAATAAATAAATCAAATGCTAACATTCAGCCTTAAAGGGTATGAGAGTCAGATGCTGCAATGGGACAGGGAAACAGTTGGACTGTTGAACCCACCCAAATCATGAGGAATGGATTAGCATTCTGTTCCCCTGACCATCAAGAGCACTTCCAATTTCACTGGCTGATCCCAAGGTCTAGCATTCTGTCACCCTCCTCACCTCACCTCCAGGAAACACTGATGGACTTGGCAGACCCTCCGATCTAACCACTGTAAGAACAAGGAGCCTTTGGAGAGGACAGGGACTAACCTGCTGCATGATGTGGGTGATGGCTCCTGTTGAGGATGCAGGGATGGACTTCACCACAACGGATGTCTGTGTTGCTGTCTGGGACTGGGCCACATGCTGCAGCAGAGTCCTCTGGGGCTGGGAAGACTGCTGGTGGGGCTGGGCACGGTGGCTCACTGAAAGAAGGAAAGGGAACCGGCGAGTGCATAAAACAGAAATCAATGGGGACTCCTCAAGGGTTGCATTACAAAATCACCTCCTTAGTTGAATGCCCATGAAACAAAATAAATATAGATAAAATTTAAATGAAAGCAGTAAGGCATCAGCAGTATACTCTTGTTTTCAACAGAGTATAGATTTCAACAGAAGAAGAAAAAAACGTCTATAGCTTTTTGTGAGTTTTTCGGGCTATGTGACTGTGTTCTAGAAGAGTTTATTGTTCTGTGGCTGGCATCTTCAGAGAATGCTGGCATGGAATGTGTGACCCTTGATTAAGAGGATGTGATTTGTATGTTAATCTGTGTATTGGTCTGTTGTTGAATGGCAAGGCCTTAGGGTGGGAGGATATGTGGGAAGGATTAATGTCTATTTAAATCAGGGGTAGGCAACCTAAGGCCCGGGGGCCGGAGGCGGCCCTCCAAGGCCTTCGGACCGGCCTCAGGCCATTCCTGCCACTGCCACCGCCGCCACCCGCCATGATGATATTGATTATTGTTGTTATTACTTGTTCTTGGGGTTTTCTTGGCAAAATCTCCACAGGGGTTTTGCCATGGCTTTTCTGGGGCCGAGAGGGTGTGCATGCATATTTTTTAAATGTTTTTAATCTTTTCTAATTTTTAATTTTAATTTTAATTTATTTTTGGTGCTTCGGCCCCCCAATTGTCTGAGGGACAGCAACCCGGCCCCCGGCTCAAAAAGGATGCCTACCCCTGATTTAAATAGTGGTCCACTGTCTGCTGGGAAAACCCTTGCCCCTGGGTGAAGTTTATTTGCATGTGCTGAGTCTTGATTTTGGTGTTTTTTAGGGCTGGAAGCCAAATTTTGTTTATTTTCAGGGTTTCTTCTTTCCTGTTGAAGTTGTCCAGGTGTTTGTGGGTTTCAAAAAACAATCTCTTAAAATGACATCCTGGGCACCAATGAACTCAAAAGAACCTTGATGTCAGAAGAGTATGCACATGAGCCCTAATGTCATGTTTTTCATCAAATAATAAGTGTGGTGGTATACTCCAAGGAACACAACAGACCAACACTGCAGGTTCCTCTAAACCTTAAACTCAACAGACTCTTGAAAATGTAGTAGGAATCAGCTACACATTTATTTTTCTCCAAGTTTTAAAGAACACTCCAAGATTAAGAGATGGTTATCATGGCAGCTTCTGAGTGTTGCAGGTTTCACTTCTAACAGTGCTACAGTCAGTTTCAGGAGGCCCTCTTCTAGATCCATCCTACATCCACCAAACACTTGCCTACTTTCTGGAAGTACTTGGTAGTGACTGTTTTGCAAAATCTCAGAGGAACAAGCAGCTAGAGCAACTTTCTAGTTCTCTTTGTTCCCACAAGAAAGCAGCATGAACTTCTCATGGGTGACAGTAGCAGCGATCAAAATCTGTAGCTAATACAGTCAGCCAAACCTTCATCCCATAGATAGGTTTGCCTTCAAACTCATGAATAAACCTGTCTAATGTTAAAAATTATAACAGTGTACCTACTGCAGATAAAGTATTCAATGCCAGAGCTGGCCAGGACCTCTGGGGAGGGGAAGTTCTGTCAGGTCATCCTGGGCATTTCTGATATGTCCCACAATATTTTTTAAAATGCCTTTTAAAAATAAAACATCTAACCTATGTGGTTTTGGAGATATTCTTCCGAATGTGAAGGAACACAGTGCTGTCCTCCTGAGTCTGCAGATAGACAAAAATGTTAGAGCTAAGAGAAGAGGCACATTGCTCTGCTCATTCCCAGTTGGTGTTAGCTCTAAAACAAATAAAACCTCCCTTAAACTCTCATATTCCATTTACATGTGCAAAACTTCAGAGAAGGGGGAAAGGCATAGGACTTCTTGGGGAAGCCTAAAAGATACTTTTATGGACTAGAACAACCAAATTCCCCAGCCAGCATAGCCAATGCTGGGTGGGGGATTTTGGCAGTTGTAATCCAAAAAAGTAACTTTACAAAGTTCTGACCTGGTCTACCGTGCTTACCTTCATAGCCACTAAGCCAAATACCATGGGAAGCAACAAAGGACATGGCAGACCAAATACCTTAGAGATATGATAAATCTGAGAGATCTCCTGGCTTTTATATAGATCGCATGGGAGATCTGGGATTGGAATAAGGATGCTGCAGGAGAGAATGTTTAATGCCTGTTTTCTTGATCATCATTTCAAGCTCTTCTCAGCCTTGATGGGGATAGCAAAAATGAGAAGAGAAGACAACAGTTGTGATAGCCCTAGCAAGGACTAACAAGACTGCATATGTTCATTCCATAAAATGGTATGTGGTTGAACAACTCTTTCTGCAGCACCACTACTGCTTCAACACTTAAAAAAAAACACACAACATCAACAGATCAATCAGTAGATGCTGTCACAGAACACTTGTACTGGAAATGTTTCGGCATCCATATCCAGAAACATCTTTTCCCAGAGCAGAGGTTTTGAGCTAGCCTAGCTAACAGTCCATTGATAGGCCTTGTTGTTGAGTACCTTCAAGTCATTTCCAACTTATGCTGACTCTAAGGTGACTCTGCCATGGGGTTTTCTTGGCAAGATTTATTCAGAGGGGGGTTGTCTTTCCCACTGCCTTCCTTGAAGACTGAGAGTGAGAGACTTGCCCAAAATCATCCATGGTTTCCATGGATGGACAGGGATATGAACCCTGGTCTCTAGCATCATAGTCCAATACATTACACCACACTGGCTCTCTTTGATAGCTCTACGTCACTTGGAATGCATCTGCTTTTCCATTTTAAAGAGAATGGGCTATTGTACCTATGCAAGCAAATGAGGAAGCAGCGTCCCATGATGGTGGAATGGCCTGTACCACTTCAGACTGTAGGTGGAGAATAATATTTTTAGGGTTATGCATGAAGCATGGAAACCATGACTAAGGAACACGCTTTTACATTTGCTCTCCTATGCATAAACAATTCCCTGAAAGTGCAAGAGCTGAACATATACTTTCCAGACAAACCAGAAAAAGTAAGGTAAATGTATTCCCCATTGACAAGGTTGTCAGGTTGTATCCAACCATAAGCAAAAGAGCCTGTGCTGTCAGAAACTACTCTGTGATCATGTAGCCAGCATGATTGCACAGAATGCTGTTTACCTTCCCACCAAAGTGGTACCTATTTATCAACTTGCATTTGCATGTTTTTGAACGCTAGTTTGGCAGAAGCTAGGACTAGTGACAGGAGCTCAACCCATCATGCAGCACCTAGGCCTTGAACTGCCAAGCTGCTGATCATACGATCAACAGTCAGCATCTTAATCACATGAACCACTGTACCCACCCACCCACCTCCCAAAACCAGAAAACTAGCACACAAAAGGAAACGATCTTTGCTGTGTTGCAGGGAGTTGTTCTGACATAGGAGAACAAACGTAAAATGTGAATCCACACCTCCATTCTTTTACCTCCATGATTTGCCCGCTTCATTCTGCTTTGTGTATATATCAAACAAATGCAAATGGCATTCCCTCTCCTTGCAAATAATTTCTTGCATAATGAAGTATTTTCTTCTGCCTGTCCTTAACCTCTCCAAGGCCTAATATTTTGAGAGAAAAAGAGGGGAAATCTCCACCCACTATTTCCAGATTGTTCATAATAGGATGTCTATATCTATAGGACAAGAGCCAGCATGGCATAGTGGTTTGAGCATAGGACTAGGAACCTGGAGAACGGGGTTCGATTCCCTGCTTGGCCACTGAAACCTGCTGGGTGACCTTGAGTACATCAGACTTTCTGAGTCTCAGAGGACAACAATGGCAAGTGTTCTCTGAACAAATCTTGCTAAGAAAATCCCACGATAGAGTCAGGGTCACCATAAGTCAAAAATGATTTGGAGCCATACAACACCACACCAATCTATAGGGCAGTGTGCAGACATAAAAACAAAGCTAATTATTCTCCTGATGTTTCTTGGCATGGCATATGCAAAGGTTGTGGCTCACCACTTCCCAGGTCCACTGACATTTGGGAGGTTTTTCTAGAGATAGAAAATCACAATACACAAACATAGAAGAAAGCAGACAAACCCAGTAAGCCACACAACAAAGAAATGGCAGTTTGCAAAACTGTTAGATTATTTATCTTGAAACCAGGCCCTCAACACTGAAGCCAGACATTGAACAACACAAGAAGATGACATGCAAACGAAAAGTTTATAGAATTTAGGGGGAAAGGTGTGGAGAAAGGCACAATATTTGACACACAAAAAAAATATTTTTACATATGTGTGTGTATGTGTATAAAACAAGTCTAAACCTTCTTTTAGGCCCACTTTTAGAAGCTGCTGGGAGATGGTTAAATGAGAGAGCTGGGTAGAAAGAAAGGGGGTTGCATTCCAACATCTTAAGAGCTAAGATTGAGAATCACCAATTTATACTGACAAGCAATTTCACTTCATGGTTTCAAGCATGCCTTTTCACCAATATACATGGGGGACACCCGGGACTGAACTCAGGAGTTTCTGCATGTGAAGTCAGTAATCTAGCCACTGAGCTAGTGCTCTACCCCAGGGGTAGGCAACCTTTCCCCTTTAAGGGCCGAGGGACTTCAACTCCCAGAATCCCAGGAACTATTGGCCAACATGGGACTATTGGCCAACATGGCTGAGGCTTCTGGGAGCTGAAGTCCCTCAGCCCTTAAAGGGGAAAGGTTGCCTACCCCTGGGGTAGAGGACTAGCTCTACCCTAATGTGGCCAATACACTAACTGGTGCATCAGCACCTAAGCTGTAGTGAACACATGTAGTCTCTTTCAGTGTGAATCCAGAATAAGGTGAGTCCTGAGCTGAGGTGTGAACAAAGCAAAGCCTCACAGGAACTAGAATGCATATCAAGGAATTTATCAAGTGTAAACATTGATCTCATGCTTAGTGGGCCCTTAGTATCCACTGGTGTTTGGTTTCAGGACCTCCCCATGGATACGAAAATCCATGGATTCTCAAATCCCATTAAATACAACAGCATAGTAAAATGGTGTCCATTATATGGAAACCGTGCCCTACGAGGAGTGACTGAGAGAGCTGGGTATGTTTAGCCTGGAGAAGAGACAGTTAAGAGGTGATATGATAGCCCTGTTTAAATATTTGAAGGGGATCATACTGAGGATGGAGGAAGCTTGTTTACTGCTCCTCCAGAGACTAGGACATGGAACAATGGATGCAAACTACAGGAAAAGAGATCCCACCTACAGTCTTTACAACAGGGCTGAAAAAACTTTGGCTCTCCAGATGTTCTGAACTTTCATTCCAAAAACCCCAGCTAGCAAGGCCAGTGTAGGATTATGGGAGCTGTAGTCGAAGAAAGATGGAAGCCCAAAGGTTGCCAAGCAAGAGTAGATTTGTCAAGCAGGTCAGGAAAGAGTAGATTTGGGGCTGGAATTGCTGCACAAGAAGGGCAAGGTCATTACAACAGCTAAACTTCTCAAAAAGAAAGGAACAGTGGCTACTGAAAAATGAACACTCTTTTTTTTTTCGAGGAATGGCTAGAGGTGACTAAGTTCGGAAAGGGAAAGAGGTACTCTAAACACCGTTAATGCTCTCACATCAAGGTGGTTCAGGCTCCAGGTCAGAGTCCTGGTTCAAATTAAGCCTTGCTTCTTTCCATAAGAGAAGTGCTACCAGATATGGCCACAAGGGGCCTTTATAGACTGCCAGAAATAATGCAGCTTGAGACCACTTTAACTGTCCTGGCTCAGTGCTAGGGAATCATGGGAATTGTATTTTTTTTGGGGACAACATTGAGCCTTCTTTGTCAGAAAGCTCTGGTGCCACAATAAACTACAGTTCCCATGATTCATTAGCACTGATCCAGGGCAGTTAAAATGGCTTCAAGTTACATTATTTCTGGCAGTCTGTAAGGCCCAAGGTTTATTTAAGCTAGCATTCCAAGTAGCCAAACTAGTGCCTCCAGCAAGCCCACAAGCAGAGCATGAGGGCAACATCCCTGCCCCCATTCCTACTTCCCAGCAATTGGTATTCAAATGATATACTGCCTCTGAAGATGGAATTTCCATGGACTAGTATGTCTTCCCTGTGAATTTGTCCAATCCCCTTCAAACTGTAAAACCAAGGGCCATTACTACACTCCACAGTGGCAAATTCTGTACACAGTACAATTAAAACTCCCCTTCCTCTCTGAGTCCTATCTGAGTAGTTTTAGAAACTTCTTCTTGTCTCTCCCCTATTTTGTCATTTTTTCCTTCTGTGGCTGTTCAATCATTTGTTTATCATGTTGTTTGAATGAGGGTGCAGCTGATGATCTGGCTTCCCCACCCACCTTGGAACAAGCTGGACAAAGTAATCTAAAAGCAATCCTTGATTTTAATGGGTGGCTTGTTTTACCCACATTCAGAAAACACAACATACAACAAGGCAAAGAAAGCACATATACCAGCAAGCTGTTCTTTCTCAACAAGCCAGGAGCCCTGGCTTCTCATATCATTTGAACCAGTGCTACGTGTCTATCAATGTTATCTTTAAACATCCTTTATATTTTAAAAGTGGTCACATCTTTCCCCACATCTCCCCTTGAAAGATGTGTTGGTTTTGGAAGACAGGGATCTAAATCAGGGGTAGGCAACCTTTTTGAGCTGGGGGCCGGGTTGCTGTCCCTCGAACAAAATAATATATATATATATATATATATATATATATATATATATGCATGCACACTCTCTCAGCCCCAGAAAAGCCATGGCAAAACCCCTGTGGAGATTTTGCCAAGAAAACCCCAAGAATAAGTAATAACAACAATAATCAATATCATCATGGCGGGTGGTGGTGGCGGCAGGCGGCGGCGGCAGGACTGGCCTGGGGCCAGTCCAAAGGCCTCGGGGGGCCGCATCCGACCCCCAGGCCTTAGGTTGCCTACCCCTGATCTAAATCAATCAAGCTGGGCTATGTATGCCTATTTCCAAGCCTTTCCACTTGTGGGAGGCAACCCCAACAGAGCCTTCTCTGACAAGCTTTTGCTTTGACTTACCAGTGGTGATATATTCTGCAACAAGTTCTGACTCCACCACGGCAATGGACGGGCTCTCTGGGGAATGGCGCTTATCCTGAGCCATCTGGATGGGGACCGCCATTTGGCTCAGGTCTATTGTTGGCTGCCTTGGCTTTGACTCCAATTTCTCCTTCACTGCTCCAGCAAATGAAAAAGAAAGGAGACAATGCAGTGTTTTTGTTTAAAGAACTCAAGAGTTGAAATGGCTGTTAACATAGGACAGGGGCATAGTGGGGCCTGTGAGACACATGTGCATTTTTGTAGCCCCTGGCGTACTCCATCAGTTCTTCCAATCCTCTATTTTTGTTTAAAGCAGCACAATTGTCAGTCATTTTTGCCCCCAAACCACACCGAGAGCCCCTCCAAATGCATGCAAACATAAGAAATGTCCCCCAAGGATTCCAGAATTCCACAGTACCCCAGCCTTCCTCTGGACCTATTCCAGCTCATCAATCTACCTCTAGAATTGTGGAGTCCAGAACCGGACAATATTCCAGGTGAGGTATGAGTGGCACGAATAATTCCATTGATCTGAACACTGATTTTCCTGTTGATGCTAAAAAAGCTGAAATCTACTTGTTCCAGTGTTAGAGGCAGAGTGAAGTGTAGATCCAAGTTCTGTCCCAGTCTGTTGCAAATCAGAGCTTGGAAAAGTAATTTTTTTAATTTTATCTCTCCCAGATTCCCAGACCAGTATGGCCTGTGCTGAGTGGGAGATTCTGGGAGTTATAGTCCATATGAACTTACTTAAGTCATGACTTATCACATTCCCATTGATGTAATGATCTATTGTAGAAGGATCTAAACTGGATTTAGATCCACATGCCCCTGAGATGTGTTGGAGTACAAATCCCACCACTCCAGCCAGGGGGCAATGGGGGTTGTAGACCTGCAAATCTGGACAGGTGTTGAGTTGGAGAAAGTTGATCACCCATCCTTTCTCCAACTTCATGGATAACAAAGGAGAGGTTTGTTATAAAGCAAAATCCAATTTGTCTTCTTCAAATCCTGGAGAGAAGCTATCTGGAGGGAGAAGTGTGGGTATTCAATTTCAATCGGTCTAAAAAAATTCAAAGCTTTTTTGGACAGTTTCCATTACTGAAATATAAAGGGGAAAATGCATGTTCATTTACACAAAATTGATAAGAAGGAAAACATGTTAGCAGGAGGACTCAAACTGCCTACCTGTTGTCTGCTGCAATTCCAACAGTGCTTTGATTGTCGAAGTCGCTGACTGAGATTCACTGGAGACATCCTGGTAGATTATAGTAGGACTGGAGTCCACAGCAATGTCATGTTCAGACCAATCCTGGCTCCGGGATGCAATGACATGAACCACAGGCTGGGAATCTACAACACAGGGGAGGATGGAAATTAGTCTCATTGGCAAGCTACAATATGGTCATACTGCAAACTGGAAGCTTCCTTCCCAGTTGTCCTCCTATCCTACTGTCACTTTCTGGCTCTTATCAGTACCCTAAGGTTAGAGACCACATTTGCTTAGGAGAATAATAATAATAATAATAATAATAATAATAATAATTTATATCCCGCCCCTCTGCAAAGCAATCGGGGTGGCTTGCAGCATTAAAATTAAGCAAAAGCTTACAATACAATACAATAAAATCACAATCCAAAATCCCAACCACACCCACCCCTTAAGTATCATCACTATCCTAGCAGAAGGGAACCTGTA